AAGCGCTTAGCAACCCTGTGCCTTTGGGCAAGTGGCTTATTCTATCCATGCTCACATATCCTCATTGTAAGAATCGGGCGGTAATACCCACCTTGTAGGATAGTTGTGAGTATAAATCAACATTGTGTGAGAATTCCCTTGTATGAAGTGACAGCTTCCATGAACAGATTTTGCCCACTGTAGGATGGGGGTGAGATTCCAGCCTCCTGTGGAGGCGAAAGGCAGCAGGAGGCAGGAAAGGGAAGGGGGAAAGCCTGAAAGTGGGACAGACCCAAGAGGGTCCTCGTGGAGGAAGACATAGTGGTGGAGTGGAAGCAGAGGCCGGGGAGAAGAGACGTGCCTCACGGGTTTTTTTTGGTGAAATGCTATGCGCCCTGTGACCCCTTCTCTCTCCCCCTCGAATCTTCAGGAAAACTACACAAGTCACAATATGCTTGGTCCACTGGATTGCATTTTGGAAGCTGGTGAAGGGCTGGGTTTTGGATCAAGTTTGGCAAGGGTCCAAAACAGTGTCTTCTCTGTAGGTGATAAGTGCTCAGTAAATGGAACACGTAGGAACAAACTATGATGAGGGCCTAGAGGAAGGAGGGCTACAGTGGCCTGGGTAAATCTGTCCTTAATTACACTGTCATCCATTCATTTTTTAAAAAATATCTTTATTGGAGTATAATTGCTTTACAATGGTGTGTTAATTTCTGCTTTATAACAAAGTGAATCAGTTATACATATACATATGTTCCCATATCTCTTCATTCATTCTTAAATATACATTCCAGCCAGAGACTTGTTAAGCAGCCTTTCTTTCAATCTCAGGGCCCAGAGGACGTTTTATAGTCTAGGCTAGACTAGTCTAGAAAGTTTTATAGACTGGAAGTCTGTATGAGTCAAATCTGGATGAGCCCTTGTGTTTTATTAGAGGATGCTCTGGCAACATAAACCCGTTTGTCTTCGTGATAAGCCGTGCAACACCTGGTGGTAGAGTCAGGTTCTCTGTGATGAGACGTGAATATGCCACTTGTACCTGCCCTTTTCGAACTTCCTGATCCAAATGCAAGGCTGATGTCATAGGATCCTTGACATCTGCATCTCACCCCCAAATCTTTGCTGAGCTCCTCTTTTGCTTTTCTCCACCTCCCTGCTGTCATTGCTATTTGCTATAGTATTTTCGTTTTGCTTTTTGATCTCATACGTATTGCTCCCTGATTCAATCTCTTTGGCACCCCTGTAGCAGAGGGTACTGCTCTGAGCCTGAGGTGGGTCTACCAGTGAGTTCAGATTTGTCCAGGCCCTGCTGACTGATACAGGAACGGCCACCCTTGGAGGGGCTGAGGAGCCTCCCGGGAGAGCTTAACTTTAGATGCATGGCAAGTCCTAACTCAGGACAACAAGCTCAGCTCAGGAGCAGAGCTTTGGTCCCTAGAAGAGAAGGGCAGTTCCAAGTAGGGCAGAGTCTGAAGCCCCTCCCCTTCACCAAGAACTTAGGTCTGTATCCTATAAATATGTGGGGTGACTAGTGTAGCAGAGACTGGCTTGATGCTCACCAAACTGTTTCCTTTTCTTCCTGGGCCCACACCTCCCTGGCACACATATTTTGTGTCTAAGTTCTGGCCAGATAAGTGTGGGTAGAAGTCACATATACCACCTCCAGCCTGGCCCATAAAACTTCCTGCATGATCAGGAGATGCAGTGATCCAGTGGGGGAGTTGAAGGCCCTGGGATGACGAAGCGCCAGGCGGAAGGAGCTGGGCCCCTGAATGAACTGGAGGAATAGAGAGTCTCAGGGCTGCCTGTCCCTGCCCTCGCCTTGCCCGTGACATGAGCAGAAATGAACTCGTATTCTTTAAAACCACTGAACTTTTGAGGTTGTTGATAACAGCAATAACCTTGCCCCGACTGACTCACTGGGTAAAAATAAATAGCACTGTTTAATGAAAATACTGCATTTGACCTTGAAGAATAGAGAGCACAGCATTTATTTTTCTAATCAAGTGTAACATAAAAAGAAGAAAGAGACAGTCTTCCCCAGTTGTCACTGCACTGAACAGCTCTGACGTTTCAACAGCACTCAGATATGAAGTGGCAGTGACTGGGGAGATACAGGAAGAAGTAACGGTTTTTGAAAGGTGGCAGAAATGCCCATGAGGCTTAGCGGTTATGGCAGCGCTGGAAGGGAGGGGTGGCAGCTGTTGTGCACACAGTGGTACTTGTTCCAAGCGGAAGTGGTAAAAGCTAGTGGGAGGGCAGGACCAGCAGAAGAGGCCACGGTGTCTAGGGAATGGGAAGTACCAGATGATCAGATTTGCTTATGAGCCCATGTAGGACATTTGGAGATTTTTGAGCAATACCTGAGGCATCACAAAGGTCATAAGAACCAGTCAATATGGCTTCCCACCACAAAGCATTGGAAGCTTGGAAGGTTAGGGAAGAACAATCCCACTGCAGATCCTTGTAGGGAGAAGAGGCTCTTCTGGCTTCAGCTGTGATCTTCAGATACAGAGTTTCTTCTCTTCATGGCAGGCGCAGTGGTCAGGCAGGGTAGGCTGTCCACAGGCTTGTCTCCCCAGCCCACCCTTGTTTCACTCCTCTGGGAGGTAAGCCAAGTTGGGAAGTCAGGAAGCCTGGGCATCCTCAGCGGGTGTCTGTGCAGCAAGGCACTCAGTCAGCCAGGTGACTAGAGAGGATGTGACAGCTTTTCTTTAGGTTAAAGGCTAGGATTCTGATTTGTTTGGTGGCTGCTTTGAATTTTTTCCTTTAATTGAAGAAAAGGACATTAAATGTGAGAATCGTTGTTTTAAGCTGTGGTCCCTGTATTAAAATGGAAAAAAAAAATGTGGAGGGGATGGGAGAGATTTCCGGAGGGGGCCACAGTGTCAAAGAGGAGGAAAGGTTAGGGAGCCAGCGGGAGGGATTCCTGGCATCTGCTTCCCCCTGAAAATCATTTGGGCAAAACTGGGGTGATGACTGGGGGGGGAGAGAGAAAATGCCATAAAGGTTAGGCATAAAAAGGGGCTAGAGATGTCACATCTAGGGGATGCATATACCCTTACACATGTTTATGTGCACACATGTAAGTGTGTGTACCCACACGGGTGCTTTGGGTGATGATACAGTTTGCAACAAAGTTTTTTTTTTTTTTTTTTCCTTGCGTTATGCGGGCCTCTCACTGTTGTGGCCTCTCCCATTTGCGGAGCACAGGCTCCGGACGCGCAGGCTCAGTGGCCATGGCTCACGGGCCCAGCCGCTCCGCGGCATGTGGGATCTTCCCGAAACGGGGCACGAACCCGCGTCTCCTGCATCGGCAGGCGGACTCTCAAGCACTGCGCCACCAGGGAAGCCCTGCAACAAAGTTTTAATCAGACTTTGTACAATTTTATTTTACTTTCGTCACATAAGAAGGGACTTTCCCTAAGAAAAGTGGACAGATTTTTCTCCTTTCCTTCTCTCCTGCGTAACCTTGCTGTTTCAGTCCACCTGCACCCTCTCCTAGAAACCCAAGTTCCTATTCTACAGCAAAAACGGATCCTACTCACCTTAAAGGTTATTTTTCTCAGGCTTCATATCTCAAGAATGTGTTCCAGTTAGCTAATCTGATTTCAGGCAAGCCTCTACTGGTTTATTGTGACCTGTAATGGTGCTTCTCTTAGATGACCCTCATAGATGTAAAATGTTTTTTTTAATCATACCTCCAGAGAAGTGCCAAACAGTAGAAGTTTCAGGTATTGTAGTATGCAGAAAGAATAAACAAATAAATTACTAACCCATTAAAGTGTTATTAAATTTATTATTAAGTTATTAAATTGTCAAAAATAATAAATTGTTAATAAAAAGAAGTGCTAACGTTTATAAGACACGAGGTGCCACACACTGTTCTAAGTGCTTTGCATGTGTCCATTTAATTCTCGAGACTACTTCTGTGGAATAGGAACTATTTCATCCCCAATTTGCAGATGAGGAAATCGAGGCAGAGAGAGATTAAGCAACTAGCCCTAGATCAGGCAGCTAGGAAATGGTGGAGTCCATTTGAACTCATGTGGCCTGGCTCCAGAAATCTGCGGCTCAGTCGGAGTGAGTGATATTTTTGCATGGGGAAAAGGGTGGTGAGGGTCGCTGTTAGAATCTCTGGGACTGTAACCGTGGCACTATCCTAGGACAGTTTCTCACGGGAATGAAGGGGTCCAAGTGACAGGTATCTCAGAACTTTTGTTTGACACTGAGAAGCCACATCACCTTTATAGATCTCAGTTTTCTCTTTAGTAAAACAAGGAGCCTCTAAGGTCCGTTTCAGTTCTAAGATGAATAATATCTTCAGCATTCCTGGAGTAAAATGCCGATCTTCTGGTGCCTGTGGGGAAGAAGCAGGTCTGTTCTTGCTTCCTTAGACTCTTCAAGCTAGAAGCTGCGGGGTAGGGTGCTGTGTGGATTACCTGGAAAGAACTGGGAACCAGAGATGAGGCTTAGAGCTCCAGGAAACCTCGACTTTTACCTAAGAAACATAGAGAAACACATTTACTAGGTGCCTACTGTGTGCTGCGTGTTTTAAACAGATTATATAATATCATGCTCACAATACGCTCATGAAGTAGGTGGTACTGTCTCCACTTAAAAAATAAAGCTGGAGCTTAGCCATACCGAGTGACTTGCCCAAGATGGCCCAGCGAGTGATGGATGCAGGCAGGATTCAAATCCCGTCCGACTCCAAAGCCCACACGCATTTCACAACCCGGCCCTACTTTACTATCTGTTATCTCATTCCATGCTCACTGCAACCCTAGGCGGTGTATTATTTCCCCATTTCGCTGAAGAGTAGAGTGAGGCTCCGAGCGGTGACGTGACCTGCCCAGTAAGCGCTCTGTCCCCAAGGGGTCGGAGTAGAGCGGGAGGAGTGCTCACGTGGGCGCGTGTGCCGCAGCCCGGCCCCTCCTCCCGGCCCGGCTCCCACCTTTCCAGGTCCTGACCCCGCGCACCCCGACTGCGAACTACACTTCCCGGCAGGACGTGAGAGCGCGCACGCGCAGCGGGGCCTCCGCCATGGCGACCGTGCTGTCCAGGGCGCTCAAACTCCCGGGTAAGAAACCGCAGCCCCGCGACCACCCCGCCCCCGCCGGGCCTGGGGAGATGGGGAGGCGAGACTCCGGGGGCGAAGCCGATCGGGGTCTGGCCCCAACCCGGGCGCAGCTGCCGGCGCGGGGAGGCGAGGCGGTGCAGCCCCCGCGGGCTGGGGTCCACGCGCCACCAGGGGGCAAATGAGGCGTTCGGCGGGTTGGGGGTCGCCGGCGCTGGGCGAGCCTGGGAAACACTGAGGGAGGGACGCGGGAGGCGCGTGTGGATGGTGGCTTGGCGCTGCGGCGGCGGCGAATGTCAGGGCGCGCGTCGCCACTGTCCGCAGGGGAGGGCGGTGAGGTTAGCATCCTTTCCCGAGCTACGCGAAGGAGGTACCGCAGGGTCTCCAACTCCTTCCGTCTTGGGCTGGACCTGGGCGGGGTCAGGGAGCGGCAGGATGGCGAGTGACCCCTTGGAGCAGCCTCTCCATTTAATGACAACCTTGATGCTGCCTTGAGGTAGGTGGGACAGGCATTTCCCCTCCTAAAAAGTGAGTTATTTGGCAAATTGACCTGTCCAGGGTCGCACAAGCAGTATTGGAAAAGCTTGGACTTGAACGTCGGGGGGTCTTCTGACTCTAGATCCTGGGCTTTTGGTTCCACTTGTTCGGCCTCTGGCTCTCGAGCCTGAGCATTTATGAGGGAAATTATTTGGCACCTGCAAGTTGCAGATAATGGATGGAATATTCTTTCAGGAGGCACTCGTGGTGATGTCAACTTCCAGAGCTAATTCAGTACTTTGGGCAGCAGCTCCAAGTTTTTTGTTTTTGTTTTTCCTCTTAAACCTCCAGCATGGGACTGTGCTACTAGAAATGTGCTATTTTAATAAAAGTATATTTATTCTGCCCAAATAAATTTTAGACGTTAAGGCTTTAGAAAAATTTATGGTTTAACCTAAATAAGTTTTAAATATTAAGCTATAATATTAAGCTATAAACATTTGTTTGTTGGTAACTTAAGGTGACAGTGGGAAAAACAGTTGTTTTGCCAGCTTGGGTAGAAAGTGCTAGTTGGGTGTCTGGCGGACATCCAGCATAAGGCTTCAGGGGGATTACTGGGTTCTGTTTCTCAAGGAGTTTCCAGTCTGCTACATTGTGCCACGGATGACACTGGGTTGGCTATGAATTTTCATTTCTGTTCCCAGATTTCATGACCTCAGACACCTTCCCCACCCCCCCACCCCCCCACCCCGCCCCGCATGTGCTCATTAGAACATCGGAAGGAACGCTGATAATATCTCTCTTGGAATGTGTATATAACATTGGCATGAAATGGGGGACATGTCCCTCTGCCTGCAGGATTAACTTTGAAGAGCGTAGCCTTATGTATCCTTAGTGTAGGATGATATCCTTCCAAGGGCTAATGGGATGTCGACATATTTAGCTTTATTTCTTGTTTTCTTTTAGATTCCTTGCCCCCCCTGCTTCCCCTCCAGCATAGGTGATTGTCATTCTCAAAGGCTGGGAATGCAAACAAAATCCTGCTTTCGAAACTCTTGAGCTCTTTTGCATGTGGAGGCTTTGGTATTATTACTCCTGGCATATTCAGTTGCAGTAACTTGGTCAGCCGACAGGGTAGGGGAAGCACAGTCTGGTCGCTGGGCCTGTGTTTGGGTGGCAGCAGGGCCTTGAGCGTTCAGGAGCGTTTGATACTTTTAGGTCCAGGTACAAAGGCCATATGTTCTTTTATGTGATGTGGGTTTTTTGTTTTTTGCTGGTGCTTTTGCTTTTCTCCCTCTTGCCCTTTTCTCCCCTCCACCTCAAATACAATTTTTAGGTAGAAGATGCTTTCTTAGAGCTCTTTTTGGATACCCTGTAATTGGATCTGTGAAGCTACTGCCCTGTTTGGGCTACTGTATCCTGTTACCTTAGTTAACATTCTCGCTATTTTTTTTTTTTTAAATTGAGTATCATTGACATATAACATTATACTAGTTTCAGGTATACAACCTCATGATTTGATATTTGTAGATGTTGCAAAATGATCACCACAATGACATCCTCA